AGATTACTTTGAAATAACCGACATTCATAGAGTTTCAACTGGGTGATATTCACCGTGAAATGTCTTCGTCAATAAGCCAGTAGGACTGCAGAGAAATCGGTCATTTCAAGTGGGAGTGAAATTAAAAGCCGTGCTGCAGATGCAGCCGAGGCATGCCTAATCAATGTGTGCCCTCCTGAGGGAAGGGAGAATGTTGAGTCAACGTTTTACCATTTCCAGAGAAGGCAGATCCTCAGCATGGAAGTCATGTCACCGGACCGACTTCAGTACCTCAAAACGCTTAAAAGTAGCCACGCCTCTGCAGCCCCCAGAGTATCCAACACTCAGCCCTGAAAGGCAGTCAGGGGTAGCTGGAAGTGGTGTGCTTCAGTACGACCTGGAACTCCAATTCTTGCATTTTAGTACTTAAATCTGTGTCCCCAGGAAGCCCATTTTCTGTGGACCCTCTACCTGAGCTTCAGAGGGTGGGTGCTTGCAGAGGTGGGATGGATGGCAGAGGGCTGAATTTGTTGCTCATGGCATTCCAAACTAGCTCTGTGTATGTGGTCCCTTTGTGGGTGAGTGTGGGGTCCTAACCAGACACAGCCGGGCCTCCACCTCCATGTGCTGTGGCTCTGGAAGCCGGCTCCTGGAGGGGGGGGGGGCGCTCCTGGAAGGGACTGGCATGGCTCTCCTTCCTGTTCAGACTGGGGCCAAACGGCCCCATCCCCTTCACACACACACAACAGAGGAAGGCCAGATTCCAAAGTGATTTGAGAGTCAGAAGTCTTCAGATAGAGCTTTTAAACTTTAATAGTGTTTCCCCTTCGTTGTACAAGGCTATAAAAAAATTCACAGCAACAGCACACAAACTTACAAAATAGTTTTTACCAAATTCAGTCGTGGGTTTGCCTTTCCTCTTAAATACATCTGAACTCTGGTGAGATACCCAACCATAGCAAAAAAATTGATTTCAAGTCAGTGTTTACAATCTTATTTACACAGGAGCATTGATCAAAGTGCACTGAAGAGTCCTGATCGACCGTCATGTCTGAGGGATGAAGAATATTTACACTCTTTACAAACGCTGTAACATGGCATTTCCTAGAATCATAATAATACTGAATGAGAAACCAGCCTAAGAACAGATGGACAAGGAGCAGAAAACTTAGATATATTAGCTTTCAAAACATACATAAATATTCACATATGAGCCAGTTAGATTTCAGGAAGTAAATGGAGGTGTGGAGCAAAGTTCCCCCTTTAAGTGCTGCTAACCCCCCCGCCCAACAGTATCTGGGCCGGGTCCACCAGAGAGCAGGGGACAGTTTGAGCCACCGGCCTCGGAAAACAAAAACCAAAACAAAGAAAAGCAGAGGGATGACAGGAAGTAATCTGCTGACTAAATGAAACGAGAAAAAGCCTAACCAACGCTTTGGCTGTTGAGTGAAGGAAGCCGACATAATTCACTGAAGCATTCATGAAGTTTCCTGGTCTCCACAGATCATGACATAATGCACTTCAGAAGGCGTGTGGTTGTACTGTAAGGGCTGCTGCTACGCACAACCGCCGGCGTGGTAATGAGGAGGCGCCGCAGGACGCCGTGGGAGGAGAATAAAAGTCTGACTGGATCAGGATAAGTCGTCATCTGTGCTCACTATTGAGATCTGAAGACAGGAGGAGAGGGGAGACCGGTGAGGCTCCAACTTTAGCAGGTCAAACAAACAGATGTTCAGTGTTGGTGCCACATCTGCCAGAGGTTTGTGCCCTGGCAGGTTTAGGCTAATCTGTTTATCAGCACTCCCAACAGTAAAGACTACCATATTTTCCTCACTATAGGCACCTAAAAGCCTTACATTTTCTCAAAAACAGGCAGTGCGCCTTATAATCCGTTGAGCCTGATATATTTATCAGGATTGAATTGTAACAGGTCTCGCAACTAAGGTAAGCATCTGCCGATTTCATTTCTCCCATAGAGGAAGAAGTAGAGCAAAAAGGCGCCGCCTTCTGGGGATCCTCAGTACTGCACCATGTTCATATCTGTTAGTCCCCATTTTAAAAGTGGACGCAGATGGAAGGAGGCTGTTAAAGTTTTTTTTACATTTAAGGTAAATGTTGAATATGATCCTAACCATGACAACAGGTAGTTCAAATAGTTCTATACCACCTGTTTTGTTGCTTTAAACGGCTTACCTGTTTAAAGCTTGTAAGCT